GCCTTCCCCGCCTGCGCGGCCTTGGCCCGCGCACCTGCGCCCGCGGGTTCCCACCGCCTCCCGCCCGCCGTCTCCCCTCTCGCTTCACCGGGGGGCGAAGGGGCCCGGGGCCAGGAGGCCGCCAGCACTCCCGGCAAACGGCCTTCGGAGGGGCCGGCATGCCAGTGGGCACGCCGGGGGGCACGGAACGGGGCGCCGTGGGAAGCGTGCGGAGACAGCGTGCGCCCGTCTAGCCCTCCATCCTGCCACCCGGCTGGCCTGCGGCACACGGGAGGGGGCGTGGGTGGTAGCTGGAGGTCATCTCCTGTCCGAACTGAGCCCCTGCGCTCAGGAGCCTGGACTGGCAGGGAGTCGGTGAGAAATCAGAAAGGACTGCGCCAGGGAGCGAGGAAAGGCGGACATTCGTATTCTAGACAAAGCCAGCTGATGGAGTGTGGGACCTGGGAGGGTACCCCTCACTGGGAAGGTTCAGAGCTGGGAGCACGAAGAGGTGACACGCCATCCTGTTCTCACAGATGAGGGCTGGTGACAGGAAGAAGAGGGAGGGCTCTGATCAGGTCCAGGCTGGCTGCCCCAGCTGGTGAGGGTCGCGGACCAGTTCGAGGAGGTTGGCTCCTGTGCTGGGAAGAGGTGGACACTGGGGGCGGGGAGTAGTGAGCACACGGGCCCTCTTCTGACCACACAGATCTGCCAAAGACGAACTGCTGTTGGCAAGACCCTGCCTGGACCCCAGAAACGTGGGCGGGGGTGTGGGGACCCTCAACACAGTGCATGGCCGCAGGAGGCAGGAGAGCCTTCGGCTGGGCAGGGACATCCGCCTCTGTCAACAGCAGGCGGAGATGACAGTCTGGACATGGGGTGCTCACAGGCTGCCGCTAGATGCTTTAGTTTTGACACAATCAGACTCCCAGCACCTCTGCGCGCGCTCTGCGGTGCTGGCCCGGAGCCCGGAGCCCGGAGCCCATGTGTGCAGACGGCTTGCTCCGGCCTCCCCCTGCCGCCCCTCCCGCTACAGCTCCAAGCTGTTTCCTTATGAGGTCAAGGAATTCTAGGTTTGCTTTCTCCTTAAGGAGCGCCCCTCCGCACCTGCCTCAGCACTCTGCCTTTTCTGTGCCCCCGCCCCCTCAGCTCTCGACGAGACCCCCCACAGATGGGACTGGGAAGCTGAACCGTGACGGTCCCCCTGCTCCCACCCCTCAGGTACCTGGAGCCTAATCCTGGCCCGTTGCTGTGAGCTCCCTCCCGGACCACTGGAAGCCAGGCCAGCCTGCGGCCAGCACAGCCAGGCGACTCTGCAGCTCCCCATCTCACAAAGGAAGAAGCGGGACCCTGGGGTCGAGGGGACTTGTCCCGGGGCCCCAAGTGCAGCAATCTTTCATGGGACACTCCCCCAGCCACCACGTGCTCCTCACGGCTAGGACGGAGACGCCCGCAGCCACCCCCAGAGAGCTCCCTGGGGGTGCCTCACAGTCATCAGAAGGGCTGAGAAGCAGGTGTTCAGGGAAAGCTAAGGGTTTCCAGGGGTCTTCCTGGGCAGAGGAGACATTGGGGTACAGCCAATTCAAAGTCAAAAATAACACTGGGGAATGGCTTCTAAGTAGAAAACTGTATAACTTGCCATTCGAGCAAGATGGGAAGTTCTGAGCAAAAGATCCCAATATGAAAACATTTCTTAGTGTGTCCAAGGAGATGATTGTTCATTGAACTGTTCATGCTTTCTTTAAATCAGAATCATTTTAAGATAAGCAGTACTTCTCTCCTCAAGGATAGTAGACATCTCTTGGGTTTTAACTTGTATTCAAATGCTTTGAGGCATTTGCCTAGATGGTCCCAAAAGTCAACAGATGATGGCTGTTGTAAAAATGCATGTGCTGAAGATTGTCGCAATCCGTATGAAACAGAATGGTCACGTGTGCATGGGCGGGTGTGTGCACATATGCACAGCCATGCCACAGACGGGGCCCAGGGAAGGAGGATCAAACCTTCTCTTACTGAGGTGGGGTGGGGAAGGGTTTTCCATCCACATGTGGTTTTTGGCCCTGTAACAGGCTTGTGGCTTTAATCGATGACTATAGAGGGTTTTTCAATTAGTTTCTGCCGAAGGATGTGTGTTGCCTCTTTCTGGAGCGGTGTTTGGGATTGCTTGGGGCTCATAAATTGTCCATCAAGAGCTTGGAGAAGGAGAAAATGAGGGGGAAAAAAGAGAAGATGAAACAGGGACTGGTCAGCTAACCAAAGCCTTGTGTTCGGACCCTAGAACGCATCAGCTTGTTCCTGCGGGTACGGCCGGTTGGGGATTCCACCGCCTTTGCAGCAGGAGCGGAGCTGCTTCTGGCTAGTTTCGATGTCTTCAGCACAAGAACAACGTCGTGAATTGGTCGTGATCTTCACTGGGGAACAGCCGGTGCGGTGCAAACCTTTCTTTCCCGCCTCCCGCCCAGAACCTGGGAACAGTAGAGACGAAGGACGGGTTGTTCATAGTGTGTGTCGGGGGCAGGAGCAGTAGTGTGAAGAGAGGGTTCAAAGGCAATGAGGGCCCGAGACTCAGCCCAGTAGCTCCCGCCTCTCCGGGGCCCCCTCCACCCATCGTCTACCTGTGGTGGTGCCCGCGGGCAGGTGGGCACCGGCTTCAGCTCAGGCCTCGTCCACCGAGTAAAGGTCGCCCAGTGGCCTTCCCCGCGAGGGCTCCCACCAGATGGCACAGCTGGACACAGAGACCCTGGGACGGACCACTGGCAGCTTTCCCCAGGGAGTCAGGGTGAGACGGCAGCCTTGAGATGGCAGCCAGGCCGGGAGGCCCGAAGACAGCCAGCACCTTGCCCTTGGTGCTGCACGGGACACTGCCGAATTCACTTGGCCGGCATGGCGGAACTCCCCCTGTCCTCCCTTCCTCTTTAGAATGGAGCAGAAGATATCAGAGGACTTTGCAGGGAGTGAGGAAAGTATCGCTTTGTGAAGCGCCCGTTTAATGATACGTGCCCGTCTAGGCGTTTGTGTTTCATTTTGGGGGTTGTGGGCAAAATGTTGCCAACTCTGCTTTATGTGGCTTTTCCTGAGGAAGTGACATTTGCGCCGAATCTGAAGCTACCAGGAAATGGGCAAGTAGAAGAGGAAGAGAGAGCCTGGCAGTGCCAGGGCGTGGCTGTGCCCCCCCCAGGGTCGCCGACGCTGGGCCCTTAGGCGGCACGGTGTGCTCCTGGGCTTTGGGACGCCATCTGATGGCACTCTTGAGCATTCACTGTTCCTGTTGCCAGCCCCAGGCCAGACCTGGCAGGGGCCAGATCAGGGGCAGCAGAGCTTATTGGTCACAAGGCTCAGGTCCCTGCAGTCTGTCCTGGGGCCTTGCATGTGGTGGGTGCTCAGTGACACCTGTGACGGCTGGTTGCCCCCCCCGGGGGGCAGAATCCTACTCCCCTGGTGGGCCCGGGCTTAGGCAGACACGGGGCCATGACTGTGGGTGATTCCCTGGAGGAGGTGGACCTGTGGCTGGGCCTTTCAGCTGGGGAGCGCAGGGCTCCCCCAATTTACCCAGCGTTATTGAGGCTGGACCTAGACGTGGCCTGCAGACCGTGGGCGCTGGAGGCGAGCCCCCTTCCCCGGAGCCTGGCGGTGAGCTCATGCTGGGGATGGTGGCGTCACCAGGCGGCCGGGTCGCT